TCTCAGTTCGAATCCAAGGCAAACCATTCAACATCACAATAGTCCCAAGTCTATGCCCCAACCACTGGTGCTGAAGAGGCTGAAGTTGACGGGTTCTGTGAAGGCCTACAACATCTTCTAGAATTAACACCAAAAAATGATGTCCTTATCAACATGGGGGATTGGAATGCTAAAGTAGGAAGCCAAAAGATAATTGGAATAACAGGCAAGTTTGGCCTTGGAGTACAAAATGAAGCAGGGCACAGGCTGGTAGAATTTTGTCAAGAGAATACGATGGTCATAACAAACACTCTTTTCCAACAACCCAAGAGATGACTCTACACATGGACATCACCAGACGGTCAACACAGAAATCAGATTGACTATGTGCTCTGCAGCCAAAGATGGAGAAGCTCTATACAGTCAGTAAAAACTAGATCAGGAGCTGACTGTGGCTCAGATCATGAGCTGGTTGCAAAATTTAGGCTTAAATTGAAGAAAGTAGGGAAAAGCACTAGGCCACTCAGGTATGACCTAAGTCATATCCCTGATGAATATACAGTAGAGGTGACAAATAGATTTAAGGAATTAGATCTGATAGACAGAGTGCCTGAAGAACTATGGACGGAGGTTTGCAACATTGTGCAAGAGGCAGCAACTAAAACCATCCCAAAGAAAAGGAAATGCAGGAAAGCAAAATGGCTGTCTGAGGAAGCTTTACAAATAGCTTTACAAAGAAGGGAAGCAAAAGGCAAGGGAGAAAGAGAAAGATACACCCAATTGAATGCAGAATTCCACAGAACAACTAGAAGAGATAAAAATGCCTTCTTAAATGAACAGTACAAAGAAATAGAAGAAAACAATAGAATAGGGAGGACAAGAGATCTCTTCAAGAAAATTGGAGATATGAAGGGAACATTTCATGCAAAGATGGGCATGATAAAGGACCAAAATGGCAGAGACCTAACAGAGGCAGAAGAGATTAAGAAGAGGTGGCAAGATTACACAGAAGAACTATACAAGAAAGAGCTTAATATCCCTGATAACCACAATGGGGTGGTCACTGACCTCAAGCCAGACACCCTGGAATGTGAAGTCAAATGGGCCTTAGGAAGTCTGAGCAACTACAAAGCTAGTGGAGGTGACAGCATTCCAGCTGAGCTATTCAAAATCTTAAAAGATGTGGTAGTAAAAGTGCTACAGTCAATATGCCAGCAAATTTGGAAAACTCAACAGTGGCTACAGGACTGGAAAAGGTCAGTTTACATTCTGATCGCAAAGAAGGGCAATGCCAAACAATGTTCAAACTACCGCACCATTGCACTCATTTCACGTGCTAGCAAAGTTATGCTCAAAATCCTACAAGCTAGGCTCCGGCAGTATGTGGACCAAGAACTACCAGAAGTACAGGCAGGATTTCGAAGAGGGAGAGGAACTAGAGATCAAATTGCCAACATACGCTGGATCATGGAGAAAGCTAGGGAGTTCCAGAAAAACATCTACTTCTGCTTTATTGACTACGCTAAAGCCTTTGGTTGTGTGGATCACAACAAATTGTGGCAAGTCCTTAAAGAGATGGGAGTACCAGACCATCTTATTTGTCTCTTGAGAAACCTATATGCGAGTCAAGAAGCAACAGTGAGAACTGGACACGGAATCACTGATTGGTTCAACACTGGGAAAGGAGTTCGGCAAGGCTGTATACTGTCCCCCTGCCTATTTAACTTATATGCAGAGCACATCATGAGAAAGGCGGGCCTAGATGAATCACAAGTTGGAATTAAGATTGCCAGGAGAAATATCAACAACCTCAGATAAGCAGATGATACCACACTCATGGCAGAAAGTGAAGAGGAACTAAAGAGCCTCTTGATGCAGGTGAAGGTGGAGAGTACAAAAGTTGGCCTGAAACTCATCATTAAGAAAATTAAGATCATGGCATCCAGTCCTCTCACTTCCTGGCAAATAGATGGGGAAGAAATGGAGGTAGTGACAGATTTTATTTTCCTGGGCTCCAAGATCAGTGCAGACAGGGACTGCAGCCAAGAAATTAAAAGACGCTTGCTCCTGGGGAGGAGAGCTATGGCAAATCTAGACAGCATACTAAAAAGCAGAGACATCACCCTGCCAACAAAAGTGCGTATAGTCAAGGCTATGGTTTTCCCAGTTGCAATGTATGGCTGTGAAAGCTGGACCATAAGGAAGGCTGAGCACCGAAGGATTGAGGCCTTTGAATTGTGGTGCTGGAGGAGACTCCTGTGAGTCCCTTGGACTGTAAGACGATCAAACTGGTCAGTCCTTGAGGAGATCAACCCTGACTGCTCTTTAGAAGGCCAGATCCTGAAGATGAAACTCAAATACTTTGGCCACCAGATGAGAAGGAAGGACTCCCTGGAGAAGAGCCTAATGCTGGGAACAATAGATGGCAAAAGAAGACGGGGATGGCAGAGAATGAGGTGGCTAGATGGAGTCACTGAAGCAGTTGGCGTGAGCTTGAGTGGACTCCAGGGGATGGTGGAGGACAGGAAGGCCTGGAGGAATGTTGTCCATGGGGTCGCGATGGGTTGGACACGACTTCGCGACTAGCGACAACAGGGGAAGTAGTCTGGAACAGAAACTTACAAGTGAGACAAATGAAGAAATTCACCAGCCACATGTAGATGTATGAGAAGAAGGCCTGACGTCCTGAATTATGGCGACCCTATGAATCCAAAATTTCCTTTCTTGACAACCCTGCTCGGACCTTGTCAATTCAGTGCTGTGCCTGGCTTCCTTCCTTCCTACATTTATTTAAAACTTTTATACCTCATCCTATGCATAAAAGCAGTGCTGTTTTTGTCATAGAACGCACCAGAACCGAGTTCCAGCACCTTTTTTCGACAAATTTTCCAAGTTTTAAAAGTAACTTTTGAAAATTTGATGTTTGGTCCACATGGATTTGAATCGCTGTCAAGCGTAGCAGGTCGGTGGCAAAATCATTAAAACGGTGCATGTGGGCTACTTGTGTGTTGAATCCAATGCATGCATACTTCATCCGCGCTGGTTGTGATGGTGCTGCTTGGCTTGTGGCGCTGCTCGGCTTGTGATTGGTTGTGTGGTCACATGCCGAATATGTTTCGTTACACAACTGGCATGTGTGGGTGTGTGTACAGTGATTGACTACGTGCGAAAGGTAAATAATTTCATGAGTTCCGGCACCTTTTTTCTTACAAAAAAAGCAGTGTATAAAAGTCTCAGGATGGTCCAACAAAGGAATCAGCCCATCTCATACTTGGTCTTCCTTTTCTTCTTCTGTCTTCAACTTTCCTTAGCACTATTGTGATAACAATTAAAGATAGCTTTTCATTCTATCAGTGAGTGGCAGTGTTTATTTATGACTTACTGCATTATTCCTATTTAATAATGAGGGATTGATGAATTCGATAGGTTTGGCGGACTTTGCAGTTCTAGGCAGTTGTTTTGCTCTTGATATTGGCTGCAGCCTGAACAGCGTTTTGTATGTGTGAGTTTGGATTTAAAAGTCAAACCGGTCTGGGGAGCTGAGAGACTCTCAATCATGCACGCTTTGAGATAATGGGTCGGCACCGGATTTGGCATTTTGAGAGTGATTATAAACGTTTTTCACACGGAATAAGGACCTAACTTAGCAAGTGCATAAACGCTCTTTGCTGTTGCCTTTTATCTCAAGATTACTGGGACTGAGCTACACTAAAATCCTGGATTCCTCCGTTTTATGGTGATCTTTCCCCTGTGTGTGTGTGGGGTGGGGTGGGGTCTTAAGAAATCATGAAGGTACCAAACCTATGAAGTTATGTGTGTTACTCTACAAATTTCTTACATCTGTGAATATTCTAAGAGGGAGGTGATAAGCTAGGGAAACGTCATTAGAAACCGTGGTACCGCAAGCCTTGTTGGGAAATGTAGTACAAGTTGTAGGTAAGAGGCGAGCGGAAGCCGCAAGTCCGGAAACTAACAAGCGGCCAAGAAGCGTCTTGGGCGAATAGTACTGGTGCAGCTTCCAAGGTGAGACCCATCCACATGCTCTGGGTGTAACTGTCTTCCTCAAATGTATTCCTTCTTTATTGTATTCTCTCTTTTCTGAGCCCATCGCCTCAAGACAAAACCTCGCCAAGGGTTTGGACGCCCCATTGTGGGTACTAGTTTCTGTGCCTTAACAGCTCCTTGGGACCGGCAGTGGGTCAAGAAGCGCAGAGTTTACCCCCTGACTACACAGTTATGATATATAATTACTGATTCCCAGTGCTTGAACTCTTTGCAACCTCGCTGACGCCTCGAACCAAAGAGCACCCCTCAAACTTGTACAGAAATTCAAAAAAATTGCGTGTATAAATGTGACACTGGTGTAACATAAATTGGTCAGCTGAAACAGCATTCTTATTTACAATAATGCTGTACTAGCATGAGAAATAGGATGTGCACTAAGAAGATAATTTCTGGCATCTACCTTTTTTGCATAAATGCCCACTGTTAAGTGTGGAATGTGGCCTACTTTCACCAGGTAACAGTGCACAGAAGGCAGGGTCAATTCTATGGATGAGGATGGGCAAACATGATCAGTGATAGAGGTATTAAAACATTTGGATTGTTCTTCTGAAAATATTAACTGCAGGTCTGCATTAACTCTACCTCTCCCTTTCAGGCTTATTGTTTTTCAGGTCATCTCAACTTTTCCTTCTGTCCTTTAATACCCACAGTGTAGTGTACTTCTTAGTGTGATAAGTGTATGCATTGAATATTTTTCACCTGAGTCTGTTGAGCATTTTGATATCTGAAGGACTGGCTCTGTGTCATAAGAATGGGGCATGCTACATCTGCCCTTGGTGAAAGAAGAATATCTAAAGTGAAGGGTATGGCTCCAAACAGCCTTTCCACCTTTCTTCTGAAAATACTAACTACAGGTCTCCATCAGCTGCTGTTGTGTTAAAGCAGTGGGGTGCAACCTGTGTTCCCTCTGCCTAATTTCATGCAGCCCTCAGCCTAATTTCAAAACCTCTCTGCATGTGATCAGTTCCAGCCTCAGGCAAGAATCATCGTTCTTTTTTCTAGCAGTCCTCTGAATAGAAAGGAACAGGGAGTGAGTGAAAAGGGCTCACACAAACTGTTTTGGCTCTGACCACTGCTCCTCCAGTCCCACTTACCATACTTGTATCGTAACTTCAAGTTCATTGATATCATGCTTTGTTAGTTATAATTGCAAAATCAATATAGGCCCAAATGTTGCAGTGAAGATTGTTGTACAGCATCCTGTCTTGCTTTCACACAGAATTGTCATTTTGCTATAATCAATACCTTCTACCTCTTTAAGGATTGCATCATGGATAAGTTTGTCATACGAAAATCTAGAACTGAACAACAACCCAAGGAGAAAGATCCTGAAGAAAAGGTTTACAAGCAAGCCACCATAGAGTCTCTGAAGGTAGGGTATTGTATATGCCCCCATTCATAATAGTTTTGTTAATCTTTTATTTAAAAAGTGATAATGCTTTTGAAGTTATAAATAACAATGCAGGAGCTATTTTCAAAGATGTGTAGGCAGAATCCAATAGGGCAATCACATCAGTACTTAGGGAGAAAAAACTAAAAAGGACATAACTTGAAAAGTTATTAGGCAAACACTTTCACTAAAAAATGGACTATTTATCTTACACATTGTAACTGCAGTTTACAAGGCACACTTTCTAGAGAGAACTTTTAACATATTTCATCCTTTCACTTTCAGTGAAATTTCTATGAGTATGTAGTTAAGAAGTTAGAATAGGTATCTGAGTTTCTTTGGGAACATTTAATGTACTTAATAGAAAATAGGAAAAAAACCCTTAATGATAGAAAAAAATATAAGTAAATTTTTCAAAATATACAATGAACATTTGGCAAATTATTTATATTGTAGTAAGAATATGGGGTATTTTAATTTTTTTTGTCAGAACAGGGTTTGATAGACTGGAAAATTAGCATTGGGAGCTGTACAGTCTGCACCTTGAGAAAGAGGGAAGCAAGAAAATTAACCAACTTGTTCTGTGATTTTCACCACTCCGCCAAGTGAATATCTTCATTTCCTGCCTTCCTACACTGCAACAGCTCTTTATGGTGCAGTTCTGTTGATTACTCCCTCCCTCAGAGGCTGCTGAGATCCCTGTGCTCTGCTAGGATAACGCTGGCAGGGCAGGAGGAGCAGCAGAGATGACATTTTCCTCTCTGTTCTTTGTGTTTGGTACCTTTGGAGGAGGAGGGGGGACTCTGAATAAATCATATCTGGACCTCTCCAGTCTCCTCCCCTCCCACCCACCAGAATACCCTCTTTCTTCCTCCCCATCCTCCTCCTCCAAAGTTGCTTTTCCAACTTCGGTCACCTCATGCTGTTTTTTCCTCCAGTTCCTACTGGTTGCAAGATGTCAGGATATGGGGTTAGATCTCTGACTTCCCCCTTCTGAGGTCAGGTTTTCAAAGCCATACTGTGGTACAGATCTCTGAGGTTTGCTTATTGACCCAGAAAACTCATTATGCTGGTTAGTGAAGTATGGTCATTAAGAGTGAAATGAAAATCAGAGTATGAGACAGAGGTTAAACCAAAACAAAAACAAAAACCCCCACACATTTTGAAACACAACAATTGAACAGCAAAGGTAAAAAAATGTGCAACTTATTGAAACTAATTTGTAGTTAGCTATATGAACAAGGCATTGGAAATAACCTGGAAAAACATATTAATTAATTAATTTTTGAGTAATATCCTGCCTTTTTCCTACAAAGGGCTCAAGGCAGCTTACATCTCCTCCTCCATCTTATCCCCACAAAAACAACCCTGTGAGGTAGGTTGGGCTGAGCGTCTGTGACTGGCCCAAAGTCACCCAGTTGGCTCCATGGCTGAGCAGGGACTAGAACCCAGATCATCTGAGTCCCAGTCCCACACTCTTAGCCACTGCACCAAACTGGCTCTCTTAATTTAAACTTAATGCTTTGTTATTTAGGACACAGCATATAAATATAGCCATTTCAATTTATTCTATTGGCAGCAAAACTCCACTTTACCGTTTTCTTGCTTTCAGATTAACATCTTTTCTCCCTGAAGTGTGGTTCATTAACACTCCACATCCTGGCTTCTTTTGTTGTCTGGTTCTTATACACATTATTCCAGCTCTTTCTCCCAATCTTTTGACCAATCAGAAGGACTGAGAATTTGGTTAAATTTCTAGATCCCCCTAACACTGGGTCTGCCCATAAAAGGGGGAGAACAGTAACCGACTTTTCTACCATTCTTACAGCCCATAACCCCCCTCCTAAGATCACTCCTGAAAATGGTCCTTCAAATGTCAAGGGTCTCTGCCGAGTTGAATGGGCTATAGCATGGGGGCTGAGCAGCAGGGGAAAGACTGTGTAGGGGCATCTTTTATAACTGGGTCAGAAGATGCTCTTTCAGCATCAGGTTGCAGCTCACTCTCATTAGGCCAGGGGTCTCAAACTCGCTGCCCGCGGGCCAATTCCCGGGAGGGGCGGGGCACGGGGGAGGGGCCCTGCGGCCTTCAAAGCGCCGGCGGCGCCCGGGCCGGCCATGGGATGAGCGGCCCACCACCACCGCGGTGGTGGAATACTTGATGCGGCCCAGCCTCACCCAGACTCTACATCCTGCGGCCCCCAGGTAAGTTGAGTTTGAGACCCCTGCATTAGGCTTTTCCCCATTTTCAATTACCTGAGATGTCCTTTCGAACCTTCTGGCAAGAACAGACTCTAAACAAAACTGAACCATTTTACAATCAAGAAAAACACTCGAAATGGCTGAGCTGTCTCATTTCTTCACTGGAAGTATTAGCATAAAGATGGTGCGGGGAGGAGAGATGGGACTCAAGAGAACAGCAGGTTGTAGGGCTGAAGATGAGCAGAAGAGGCAGTTTGAAAACAACAGAAATAGAGAGATGGGCAGAGAGTGAAACATGGTGGAGTGCAGATGGATAGTTACATGTTCTTGAAGAAAATTATGAAAACTCTGGTGTTGAGGGGAATTTAAAAAGTGAAGAAGCTTCAATAAGTCGATGAGGTGGAGGAATAGTATTGTTTGATAATGAAGAGAGCAGTGTTGGTGAAACTGCCTTGACATGGTTCAGCCTGTTATAACTTCAAAATAAATAGAATCAGTAAGCATTAGCAGTTCTAGTTAACTATAGAGTTAGCTATAGTAGACATAGTTAGGCACTCTCTGGGGCACTTAGCATAGTGAGATAGAAATGAAAAATTTTCCCACTTCATGAGGAGTGAAAAACAGTGAAAAATAAGAGCTGGAGCAGTTAACAGAAGTATAAGGGACTGCAAAAGATTTTTCAGATTGCTAAATCTTCAGTTAGAGACAACACTCTCTGGAGCTGGGACCTGGAGGTCTGCCCCCTGCCCACTTTCCAGCTGACTCAGAGGGAACTGTACTGGCTGCACGCTGAGGTTAGGAAAGCAACCTGGGAGAGGAGGAAAAGGTGGCATTTCAGTGGGTGGAGAGGGCAGAGACTGTAGGTATCTCTTCAGACTTAAGCTCCGCTCCCCAAAATGTTCCCCGCTAGATGGGCAACAAGGCATGTTTAGTGAACTGTGTGGGGCAGGAGCACACCTCTCCTCCTGCTCTACAGAGGATGAATGTAAGCCTCCAAGTTTAGGGGCTTATGGAGATTGCAGTAGGATGCTGCTCCAAGTGTTTTGAGTTTTTTTTCTGAGAAATAGCTGCTCAACAGACTCCAGAATACTAAGTGAACTGGAGATGACAGTCTAATGAGTATATTTGGTTTCCTAGATTTTGCTGCTTGCCTTGCATCAGGGACTTGCTGTGAAGCAAGTATTCATCTGTTTGGATTATCAGGTTTTCTGTACTTGACTGCCTGTCATCATCAATAATTTATAGGTCAATAACAACCATATTAGCTGACACAAAGCACAGTAAGTTATTTGCAATAAGTATATGTGTCTTTCTCTGTTTCCTAATGGTGATTCCCCTTCCTAGAGAGTTGTGGTCATTGAAGATCTAAAAAGATGGAAATCTATGCTAGAGCTTTCAGTTCAGTCAAAGGAAAATATAATTGAGGCCTTAATGGAATTAAGGAAGAAAATACCCTCCAGGGAAATTTTACTTTCAACAAAAATAGGTACCTTTGCTTTTATTTTCTATTAGATGGTTGATTTGTTGGTGGTGGAAATAAACTGAGACATTTCAGATGTGTTCCTTTTAGATATACTAAGCTCTCCTCCCCCACCACGTATTTTATACTAATGTGACTTTAAAGCAGACTGCCACTGCAGTACAGTTTTTAAGGTGCCCTTTAAACCTGGATTTTCTCTACTCTCTGCCCTTGATGAGCATATGTTAGCAATTATATGAGGCATTTAAACCCCTCTTTTCCTATCTACTGACTGAAGTTCCAGGATAGTTTACAATATATTAAAACTGCAGTGAAATATGCTGTTCTAACTTAGATGCCAGTTAAAGACTTGTGTGAGCTCTGGGGAGGTTGTGTTTTGTTTCTTTTACTAATTGTTTTGAAGGGTTGTATTTTAGTCCTGCTTAGGACAAACACACTGAATTGAATGGGGCTTAAGTTAGACAAACATTGAGTAGAACCTATTGTATTTGATTATATCTATTATCTTAGAATTAAAGTGTATATGCTATATTTATTTTCTGTGGGTTGTTAGCTGTCCTGGGCACCTTGTGAAGAAGGATGGGTTATAAATCAAATAATTTTTAGGGTTGCTGCATTTTTAGGGTTCATTCTGTTACTGAATCTCTGGGCTATAGAAAGCCAGAAAGAAAATAATCTTGGTCTGGAAAAGGCCAGTCATTTATACTGCTTGCCTTTTTCTTGCAATCAGAGCCTAGTTTCTCACAAGGTAGGCCTTTATTGTCCAAGTAGCTCCCTCTCACAGCTTCTGGTCCTAGTTAGTCACTGCAAGTGACACTGGGGGAATAAAGGTGTTTAGAAATTTCTGTGTCAGCCTTCAGATGTTCCATCCAAAATTACTATATGCTGACATATTATTAACTAAGAATATGCATTTTCTGCAAGGTCATACAGTGAATAAGATGCGGAAGCATCCAGACGAGGATGTGGCCACTCTTGCCAAAGTTGTGTATACAGAGTGGCGAACATTCATCAAACAACATTCAAATAGACCCTCAATTGCAGTGAGGAGTGATCCCAAAACGGAGGCCATTAGACAGAATGCACGGAAGCTTCTTGCTGAAGTTCTAGAAGTGGAGGTAATGTGTTTTAATTGTTAATATATTGGAAATAGTTTTGCATGAAAAATGCTTTACAAAATAAGGTTGTTTTGTTAATCATTTGGCCAAGAGGTCAGGTATTTAGAAGTGGGAATTGCTGCAGTTTGCATGACATGCACATTCTAAAAATTCAAACACCTGTTTCTGCCATCAAATGTTGCTCCTCTTTTCAGTTTTCTGCAAGTTATCTGCCTTTAAACAAGGTCCCTGGGCTACAATACTCTGCATGCTTCAACAGAAAAAAGTCATACAACTCCTAGTATGCTGGGAGTTACAGGACTTTTTTCTGTCTAACTGTGCATAGGATCGCACCCTTCTACAATGTAGACATTTTAATTCATTCATACGTGCTTCTACACTCAAACCTAGCAAAGATGCTCCAGATATTATATGTATTAATAACATCATGTGTGAAATCCCATCAGCAGCATAACTGGTGGCTTTTCTTCACCCAAACTGAAGCCCATTCAAAAGCTACCAAATGGTTTCTAGAGATATTTCATCTGTTTCCAAGCTTTTAGTTGATGGAAAAGGAGGAGAGGAGCAAAAAGTCTACAGAAAGCATTCTTTACAAAACAAATATAAGATTATTATTATTTTTTAGCATGGGCAGCTACAAGAAAGATGCTCATAGTTACATAGGATTCCGTAGTCTAGAAGGGCTCTTATGCTTTAATGGTTGCATGCTGTGCAGTTACAGAGAAAGAGGCATCTACTGAACTAGTCTGCAAATCAGATGTTGAAGATTCAAGTATACATGAATTTTGCTGATTTTACCTCAGCAGCAGGGGTAGAAAGGAAAGAAGAAAAGTTGAGAGAAGGGAAATCTCAGAAATATTAGAGGAGAGGGAGACTCCCAGAATATGTAGGGGAGTAATGTGACTGTGTGCATGCATAAGAGAAAACACAAGTATCCTGTATATAAATATAGGGGAAATTAGATTGAAAACTGCATCTTTGGCTTGTAGAACAAACAAAGCTTTCTGTACGTAGGTGGCAAATATATAGTCAGATCCCATGACTGAAGGTCATTGTTTCAGTGTAATTTCCTCATACACACTAATGTCCACCCTAGTATACTGAGATATAATATAGCATAAATAATGAGATATGGAAATATTCCTGTTCAAGGCCTGCACTTATTTAGCTATTTCAAACATGTGGTTCCTTTCCAGTCAAAGAACTTCAAGGGTGGTTTGCCAAGATCATAAACAATTGTACCAAATACAGTTCAACACAATATTTAATCAGCAGAAAGATGCATGACAGAATGCTAAACCAGGATAAGCAGTACAATCGTCAGTTCAAACCTAGTTCAGTGAACTGCTGGGCAACATGGGCAAATAAGGATGTCTTTGCCTTGTATTAGAAAACTGTCAGAATTCCAAATACAGGTGTTATACCTGAGGAGGTCTTACATCTTGTTACCTTAATTTCAGAAGGCAGGGCTACTAGGATTAATGCATAGTTGGACATGGCCATGTATTAGATGTTTTTATCCTGGATCTAAACCATTTAGGGTTTTATAAGAAAGCACCAGCACTTCAGGTTGGACCAGGGCCTGGGCCTCTGTTTTGAACTAGCTGAAGTTTTCAAGAAGTCTTCAACAGCAGCCCCATGTATATAGCTTTATAGTAGTCTAATGTGAACATTACAGAGTTTGGCAATGATTAGCAGGTGTTCCTGTATCCCCAAGCAATGCCAAAGTTAACAAATGGTTAGTGTGAGACCCAAAAGGCTTGAAGTGAGGCTAGCACACGGATCCAGTATATGTATCTATAATTCTAAGAAATCACAGTGAGAAAGCATGGAAATGTATAGTTAGTTAGTTGTTTGTTTTTTGGCTAAATCCACACTAAAGCCCTCTTTGTGTTCTGTATTTCAGGCAAACTTTATATCCATAATTAAGTGTTTGTAAATCAAAGTTTATTGTGTGAGCCTACAGAGAGGGTCAATAGTGTACAAGGTGGTGGTAAATATCAGATCCCTGTGGTCTTCTTAAGTAATGAACACAACAAGAATTCTCTCTAAACCTTAATGATCAGTTTGCCTGCTATATTAAACTCCATAATAATTATCCTTTTAATGTATTCATTAATTATCCTTTAAATGGCATGTCGAAGCACTCAGGAATTACAAAGCAAAATTTAGAAGCAGTGTTTACATTCCTTGTCAGCTCTGGTCAGAAAACAATAAACCATTTCTGCCAAGGAGCTAATGGCAGTTCTTGAAGCTGGAACGTCCCACTTAAGCTATCAGCTAAACCACTGAATTTGGCCCATTGACTGTGGCACATTCCTCTCCAGACAGAGGCCTAACCTTGCTGTTCTGGGGCAGTGGTTCTAAAACAATTTTTATTGGCTCATACCTATTCATATATAATACACATCCCCAAGATGCTTTCTTCCTCCAGTGAAAGATGAGGCATGCTTGTTGAGCGGCGTTTATTGCCACTGTTAGGCAAACATATACACGCTACCTTCACCCTGTTTTTTCATCCAATGTTCCTACTAATGGCTGCTTTACTGCTCAGATGGTTAAGTATGGGTACATATACAAATGCAGCACCACCTTTTAAAAATGGGACATTTTTCTTTATTTTTCGATTTCTATCCTGCCTTTTTCCTACAAAGGGCTCATGGCAGCTTACATCATCTCTCCTCCTCCATCTTATCCCCACAACAACAACCCTGTGAGGTAGGTGGGGCTGAGAGTTTGTGACTGGCCCAAAGTCACCCAGCTGGCTCCATGGCTGAGTGGGGACTAGAACCCAAATCATCTGAGTTCCAGTCCCATGCTCTTAACCACTACTTAACTACTCCACACTGGTTCTTATATGTGCCACAAGAGTAGGAAAATGACAAAAAGCAAACAACACTATAGTGGGAGAGCATAGAGACAGAAAAATAATGATAACCCCTAGCAACACCCCCTGTGCACGTGCGCACGCGCACACACACACACACACACATCTTCCTACTACCTGCTCTTGAAGTCTGTCTAAACCTGCCCAATTTAAAATGGACCTCCCTTTAGAATTTTACCTGCTAGCCAGTTCTGGTTACTGTTCTTTGAATTCTGCTACTGTGGTTTCACAATGTTTTCTTAATTTTATATGAGAGTAATCCACCCCAAGGGTTTTAGTGGAAGCCCAGGTGGAAATTTACTTTTTAAAAATAAAACTGTTCTCTTGCTGTAATGTACTAATAGGGGGTGGGGATTATGTGCAAAGAGTGTCATTGGGGAGTATCTTGACCTAAGTAGTTGGAAATTGTGCATGGTCAGGCTACCACCATATCACAGAAATACTTGCGTCTCTGTGGCGAATTACAAATATGCACAAAATCTTTTCTGTAACTGAAAGGAAAAAGGAACATTGGCTCTAAGAATGCAGAAGAAAGATAAATGTGCCAAGTTAGGAACTTGGCTCCTCTTTTAATAAGGTTCTAATTTTCACAAAGGAGTATGTGAACCTATGGACTATGTAACCCATTTATAATGATTCCATGTATAAAGCAGGTGGAAATCAGTTTGTAATGTCTTAAAGATGAAACTCTATGTATTGCTATGCTATCAATAGATTGATACATATATTGAACTTCTGCCTTCTAATAGGCTGGAGTCATAATGGGAAAATGAGCTAGCCTCACTTATGGAGAGATCTGAACAGTTTTCAGATGGTGGGCCAGGGTGGTAATGGTTTAAAATACAAGGTTCTTCTGTTGTTGAACTCCTTCAGGCCAGCTCCCTGCAGTGTTGGATAAATCCATTATGATCTCTGGCAAGCAGAGGAACATCCTCTTCTAAATGGAGTGCAAGAGTTGGTAGTGAATATAAAAGCTGCTGTCCTACTATTCGAACCTTTTGCACAATAACCATTATGACTAACACTGAGAGATACTGTATGCATTTTCATGAACCACCAGAGATGAGTCATGAATGAAATAAGTAAAGGAGAATTCAGGAGTCTAAACAGACTAAAACAGAATGAGAAGAAATTAAAAAGAATTGGTGTAGTGTGTTTTGGGCAATGCATTTTAGATCCCCGATCCTGCAAAGGGAATGGAATATGAGTAGGGTCATTGATTTCAATGGAATACTAACAGTGTAATTCTGGTTTAAAATAAAAGGGAGAGTGGGAAGTAATTATAACCACAGTGGAGGTGAAATAAGTATGAGGGCAGCAATAACTGAACATTTTACATTCCCCTCGGCTATAGAATTCCTTGGCAGTGATGGCCAAGAGTGAAATAAATGCTTTCTTGGTAGGCAATCGTCACTTTTCATTTCTTTTTATATAATTTATTTAGATGTCTCAACTGTGCCAAATTACATAGTCTGGCACATGTTAAAGCAATAACTTCATAATTAACATTTAGCAAATCCCTTTCTGTTTTCTTAATTATACCTCCTTACACTTGCTTGCAGAGTCTACATTTCCCTTTACAACCCCACCAGTCAGTCCTGCCAAGTGTTTAGAGCATCTAGGATTATGCTTTTGGAGTGGAGTTTACAATACTATCAGAAGTACAGTATCTTCTATCAGTGAGTGTTATTAGAAGCAATACTTCTTCGTTCAGAATTGTGCTTGAACCTGATACCCCAGGTTGGCTGCAGATTAGGTTCCTGTTGGGCTGGCAAAAAGCAACTGACCACTCTGCCTTGTTCCTTAATTACTAGAGTGAAATTAAATTGCTCTTCCTGTTTAACTTGTGATGTGAAATGGATTTCCTTGAATTTGAGCTGATTAAAGAATCAGCCTCTAATTTCAAACAGTTAGCCTCCTTATTAAATGTAAGCATCTCATTTCTTACTTTCTCCTTTCAGATTGGTCACCCGCTGGTGGAAAATATTGAGCAAGAAGCTTTTCATCTCTCTTCCCGTCTCATTAATGCACCCTACCGGAGGACTGTTCGAGCGCTCGTATTCACTTTAAAGCACAAGCCTGAAATTCGTGCCCAAGTGCAAAGTGGTGTGTTACCACTTAGCACACTTGTGCAACGTCACAAAAAGTGATTCAAAGTGCCTGGTGCAGAATGGGAAAGGGGACTGTGGGTTGGTATAACTGACAGAAGAGTCAGAACCTCTGCTATTTCATGAATGACTACGATACTAACATGCATGGTTCAGGAGTAGAAAAGGAACACAAATAATACGTAAAGCCTGTTGGAGGCGAAGCCTTCTTTTAATCGAAATGATAGTGTCTACTCCAGAGAGTAAACAGGAACAAGGAAAGGAAATCCTGTGCTTAATTTCATAACAGCCTGAAAAGTCACTTATCGGAAAGAGACCTAGTCTTAGTGAAAGACTCTCTTCCCTGTACAGTGTATGACATAAACCTGCAAAGGCTGTGTAGTATCTTTAGGAAAAAACCTCTGGTAACAAAACATAAAGGAGCCACAGTGGGTTTGTGAACTGAAAGTTTTCCCCAGCACATGAGTTGCTTGTTCGTTGCACACTTGCCCAGCAATTCCCTGCTCAACGTTCACATTTAATTAGCTAAAGAATCAGGGTCAAGAATTGACCTTCCACAAGGAGAAAAGCTTCACCCACCCAATTTTTCCTTTATCACACACATGCATGCAGTTCACTCCAGCAGGGGCTCCTGACTCTCCATGTAGAATTTTGAGGGGGTTGCAGGGGCTGCTGTGAGATGAGAGTTGCTTCATGGGAGCTGCTTCATGCACTATAAATCTGGATTGAACCTTTGCATTCTTTAGTAACTACAAGCAGAATGGTGAGTTTACATTAAAATGTTGTTTAGTTAAACATAGTAACATATTTTTCTTCTACAGCCTAATAAAAACAAGAATTGTAAGGAGATTTTTGAAGGACATTAAGATCCCCATATCTGCTGATTCAGTTACCGGATTTTCACTTAACCATGGTTGACCTTGGTTCAAAAGAGAAGTTGTAAAATTCTGTAAAGTGCTTTCTTTAAGTGAAAATTCTTGATTTGATAGGAAAAGAAAAACAATTGTGCACTGGTGTTCCCAACACAGTGTATTTGTTGGGAAAGTCCAAGTAAATCCTCATATAAAAAGATATGTGCTTTAATATAAAATCTGGCAGCAGTGCCCTTGCTTCTTCCCCAAAAAGGACCTAGAACTTTTCACAAAGCTCCACTTACCTGGGAAAAGCAGGCAGCCTCGGGGCTCCATTATTCATGCATTTCTTTGTAGAATCAGGCAAGCCATCTGGGAAGCTGCACTTCCTTTCCAGTGTAGTAATAGTTAGGCAGCCCACCTTTGCCTTAAGGAATTCTGCATCCCTGATTGCAAAACCCACAACATTTAAAACTTGTTGGATTTCTGTAACTCCTGATTGTTTTATCTGTTACCCAAGCCTTCCATGGGTCATGAAGTTTTTCTTGAATGCCTATAATGATTCCTCAGTGTTTCTGTATTATTCCCCATTGTCCTCACCTTCTCATCCATTCAGAATCTCATCACCACCCTGAAACTGTGTATGTGTCTCACAACTTATAAAAAAACTCTGTGCTCTGGAAGCTTGTAGTTGGTGGGCATAAACTTTGTCTCTGCAGAGGGATTTTCCTGAGTGTTCTCACAAATAAAACTGCTGAGATTTGAGGTGATGGCATCTCCCTGAGGATCCAAGTATCCATTCTCGTGGGCTGATAAACTGGGATTCTCTGACTTATAGAAAGAATGAATTTTCTATTTGTGAAATTGTGAAAAAATAAATGTATATGTACAGTATGTAGTGTTTGCTATTACCTGCAGTTTCAGGCATCTGCTGGGGGACTTGGAACCTATACCCATGGATACTGGACACCCACTGTATAATTTATTAGAGGAAAATAGCCTTTAAAATGCCATTGATTTTCCTGAAAGCAAACAATGTGCCGAATAGGATCAGAAGAGAGCTAGTGTGGTGTAGTGGTTAAGAGCATGGGACTGGGACTCAAGACGATCTGGGTTCTTGCCCCGCTCAGCCATGGAGCCAACTGGGTGACTTTGGGCCAGTCACAGACTCTCAGCCCAACCTACCTCACAGGGTTGATCTTGTGGGGATAAGATGGAGGAGGAGAATGGTGTAAGCTGCCTTGAGCCCTTTGTAGGAAAAAGGCAGGATATAAATCAAAAAATAAAATAATAAATACTGAAAACGGTTAACTGCAAAAGAGTCATGTAGTAATATGAATTCAGCTTCCTCAAGTCCTCTATTGTAACATGTTGTTTGTAGCTAAGGAAGTAATGATTGTAAGAACAAACATTAGCTAGTGAACCTGCTAACTGGTACAACTTTCATAGTGAAGAACAGCAAAGGCATAAACACAGAGCCAGTTAAAAGTAAGTGAGAAGTTGAGGAGCCAGAGTACAGAACCAGAATTGAACAATCTTTCAAAATGTATTTATTCAAATAGTCCTGTGGAAGAGTTAGCAAGTCAAAAGGAATGAAACGAAAACAATGATAAAATTGATTTTGTTAGAATAGACCACTTTTCCGTTAGAACTTCTCCTCTTGGAGATACTTTCCTTTTATCAAATGCTGTGCTAGAAAGACATCAGCAAAAGACCAGCGAAGGACCATATGTTAGAAGTCCTGCAGAAGTTGTTTTCATACATGCAATTTGAGGAAGTGCAGGCATGTAAGCAGAGTGCAATAAAACCAGTGCAATTGATACACAAATGTAAAGCAAGGTGTGTACTTGGTAGCAGTTCTTGCGCTACCTTTATTATACAAACTCTTTCCTTGCCTATCCTTTCATAGTCTGCCATCCACTCTCTCAACAAGACCTGCCTGAATGTTCTTGTGTTCACAGTGACAGTCAGTCACAGCCTCCATGCCTTCTTATGATACCGAGTTACTTGTGCAGCATCATGAGGAAACATCATGGTTGGGACTAAGGTACTAGCTTGTACCATAAGCAATGGTTATGCATGGGAAAGTGGCATGCCTGGGAATGTTCTGTTCAGTCACAATGAGTAACAGTATGGCTACACTACAGAGGGATTTGAAACTGAAATACCCAATAGTCTGTAATATAAGCTTCAGCCTGCTTTGTCCATATCATGATAAACATTGGTTGCAATGTTTATTTTTAAACTGTGCAGTTTGTATTATATGTTGGGTATCCCTGTTGGAATCTTGCTAACTGCTCAAACAGAACAGTTTTTTCCTATTATACTTTTTACTCATGACAAGACAAGCTTGGCTGCTGCGCATTCAATTCCATTAAACTGTAATACTTGCTAGCGTGGTGGGAAACAATCAGTGGCCTTTCATGTTCCCTCCTTACAAAGCAGATTTCCTCATGGCATACTTTGCTCCAGTTTCTGGTCTCGAGAGACAAGTCCCTCAGAATCTTGCCCAGTCACCATTCCACTAAGGAATGACTATTTCCAGCTCATAGCAAGTCTGTTAATTTTGCAATGACATGATTAGATCTTTCATTCTCTTAGGCCTACACTTTTGACAAAGGACACATACTTTGACCTCAATTACTCTTGCTGCTAACTGATACCATTGCCTTTTGGTGGTATGTTTTAATAGGTTCCAGGATGCCACGATGTTACTCAAAAAGATTCTGTTCTTTTTCTGCATTTCTGCATTTTGTTTCCAAATTAAAAGCAAAAGAACTAACTGAAATGAAATTGCCCCTCTTAAGGTAGAACATGGAACAATATATCCGTAAGTGTTTTATAATTGTTCTAAACATTATATTACCCCAGGTTGGAGCATGTTGGTGAGATCACCATGGCTATAATGGATGCCAAAAATAGGGTATTTCCAGCAACCCTCCTTCCAGAATATACTCAGGCAATTGTTATATTTATGAATAGTATTTAACTAGATCCTAACAGAAGAACAGCATAACCTAGACTGTGGAACAGCATACTAAAAGTACAGAAATAGTTTGTCATCACAGTTTTGCAGTGTTTTGATACAGAGTCAATTGACATAAATGGGAACTAAAGGTTAACTGGATTTTGTAGGGCTCTCCTGCTCCTTCACAAAATAAAGACAGTATCACCATGATTCTAAGGCTGCAATCCATATACATTGGAATCCCCTTTGAACTGAAAAATACTTGCTTTTGAATAAACATGTACAAGATTGCAATGTGAAAACATTTATTTTGCTTTTCTCACACTGACTGGGATGCATGCTTGATTTTGAAAATAACTTCTGTAACTTTTATTCTGAAGTATGGAATGAAGGCCTGTGATGTGGTTCTGCTACTGAAGTGACGCACGTCAAGTTCCAGTCCTGTAAATTGCTTGGCTAGGAAATCCTTCCTATGAATCATAAGTAGCCTGAAGTTCTTGGGCAGAAGAACAGGATATAAACAATATAAAGGTAAGCAGCAAAAATAAGCAAATGGCATTTGCAAGTGAAAAACTGCAGGTTCAGTCATAAGTCTTGCCACTGGAGATCCGCCCAGGATGATTTTATCTTCAATCACCCTACTTCAATGGCAGAATTTTACAGGGGGTTCCAGATCTCATTATTTGTGAGATTCCTGTGTTTTCCCACAGTTTCCTTCATTTTTTCCTAACAAGAAAAAATTAAGGAATCAAAGACGTAATAGGTGCAACTGTCTCATAACTGTAGTATTAGGAACCCTTCAGCTGGAAACTACTTGGGACCATTTTTCCCTTTAAGAGAATGGAATTTTGTAAGGCATCCCCTTTCTAGCCGTTCATGAACCAAGTATGTTCTATAGAGTGGAGGTTTGGCATTTCTCAGGGCCCTGGCATAAGCAGAGAGTCCACTACTATAAGCATTTGCATCTTGTTCAGAGTATCTAAGAGCACCATCCTACACATGTTTTGGTAGAAATCCTGCATCTCTCAGCATAAATATTAGGAACTGGAGGACTTATTATAAACAGGCATAAGATTGAGCTTCACAGAGATTGGATGCAAGGAACTGTCTGCATGCCCTATTTCTTTCAGGTTAGGCGGGGTCCACTGAAGGCACCATTCCTGCAGGAACCTTCGAAATCCTTCCTTCAAAAGGATTCCTTCAAAATCCTGGAGGAATGCTGTTCTCGAACCTTCTAGTTAATTAAGCAACAGCATCAGGCTTTACTCTTAGTTCATTATATTAAAGCAAGAATGTCAGTCACCTTTCCTCTGCTCATTATATGAATGTGTTTGATATTGTAACCCTTGTTTGAGTGGTAGATTGATTCTCTCAGCCTGTAGACTGCTGGGGGCTGTGGTGGCTGTCAGTGCATTTCTGGCATACAACTAACAAGAAATGTTAGTTGCAATCATATTTTTCTTTTGAGAAGTGTGAATTAACAAAGGTGACTTGACAAATGTTGCAGTGATGGACAGGTCCAGGACTGAACTAGGCTCAGGATTGTTGGACTGGGACTCAGATCCAGGCTCACTGGATGACTTTGGGCCAGGCAGACTCAGCCCAAACTACTTCTTAAGCTGGTTGCTGTGGGAATAAGACTGAAAGGAGGAGGAGGATTATGTAAGCTGCCTTGAGTTCCTGGAAGGGAAACAAGTGAGATATAAATATACTAAAGAAACAAAAGTATATAGTTTTATAAAACTATAAATTTGAAGCTGGATAACTTTTAAAGGTACATAGCTCAGAAATTAACCTATTCGCATGCTAATGCAACTACTAACACATAACTATGCATGACCAGAACTGGATCAGACATTGTCTCTTTAAGAAAGAAGTTCATTCTCCCTTTGTGCTCTCCAGATGCAGTTATCTACACAGTGCTTTATCCAAGGAGCATGCCATGCCATTCAGTACCACAAGATGGTGCCCTACACAGTCAAACTTACCATCTCTGACATAATGTGAAGCAAAACTGGGCGGATAGAACTTTTAGCAGAGCTAAGGCACATAAGCCTTCATATATAACACAGAGGCCTACAGCAGGCTCTGGTGATGACACTTTCGAATGGTAGGACAGCTTTCCGTGATAGACTGTCCAGGGCCATCCCTGCCATTGGGCAGGGTGAGACAGTAACCTCAGGTGGCAGAGGTGAGGTGTTTGACGAGAGAACTGTGTGCCTTGCAGACGGCTCAGCTCCCCTTACGTTTCCTTGCCTGCTACCTTCAGGTGCAGTGGAAAGCACTGTCTCAGGGTGGAAGACAGAGCCTTCTGCTTGTCCAGCCAGCTTTTGCGCATGGAATGGGAGGGGTGCTATCTTGTCCTTCACCTCGGGCAGCAAAATGTCTTGAGTTAGCTCTGAGTTTGTCTAATCAGAACTCAGAGAACCTTGCACCAAGCCTGGGGTCTCTATATTTCTAATCACCATATTTTATTATTAAGAAAGAAATTTATTAAGAAATTTGGTGCTGCAGCTGAATTAATATTCCATTCAGTTAATTTTTAGTCAATACAAAAGACCAAGAAAAACTTAATTTGTAAATTAGACAACAGGAAAATTTTGATATATTCAGACAGCTGTAATACAATCAGGAGCATTCATTTTGGCATAATTCATCTGTGACTTAGCTAATGGCAATAAAAATAAAACTGATTTCAATTGGGCCTAAGTTTAAGCAACTAACTTTATTCAGGCAATATTCAAGAAGATGTGATATCTGCATGTCGATTCTCCCAATTTCAGCATGGGCCACTGAAGAACAGTTCAAGGAAAATATTGCAGGAATGCAGGACTGATGGAGAGTAGTTTAGGGAGACAGGCCTGGGGCCCATGAGCAGCATCAGGAAGCAATGAAAATTGGAAAACTTCTTTCATTTTCCTCTTGG